AGGCAGCAGGAGTGCAGGAGCTGGCCAGCGGTCGCCAGTTCTTTCAGGACCGTTACCAATTGTTTTCAGCTTCACAGTGTAAGGAAGACAGACCGAGGACTGCATTTCGCTGACCCTGTTCGGCAAAATAAAGCAAGGAGTTTGGACGTGAGAGACAATGTCATCACGTAGTCCCTTCCCTCTTTACTTTGCACTCATGTACAGCTGTTTCATAAGACAGAGCCTGTGAATTTCAGGACACAAATCCGCAGCAGAAATGTCTTTTTCTGCACAGTGTTCCAATGCTCTCCTGTTGTGTGTTTCTGTTTTTTCCAGAGCAAGGCTGCGCTCTTCAACAGCACACCTCTGGAGGCAGAAGAGCTCTGCCTCCCTGGTGCCGTCATGTGGCGTGGGCTCTCTGCTTGTCCCTGTCTGCCACCTGCGCCATCGTCACTGGAGTCCTGGGAATGAAGTAGGTGCCTCTTTATTCCAGGACAGTACCACGTGTTCTAATTTTCAGGATCTGAGTCCAGTTCTGAGCTGCTGTAAAACTAAACTGTTTTCATCTTGCATGTCTTATCTTTGTTATTGTCATTTAATGTCCAGTTAGGTGCGTGTCTGGACAGGTTATATTGTGGCCATTAACAACAGAAAGAGAAATGTCTAAACCTGTGGTTAATATTTTAGCTTCAGACTCACACCTTATTCACTTTTTTGTCTGCAAATTCCTCAATTTCTAGCGTGATATAACCATTGTAACGGAAGAATGATCGCAGCTGTACAATGTGGCATAACTATCACAAATCTGTCCAGACAATACAGTAGGTTGTGCACTGCTTTGAGGGTAAAAGTTCAAATCTGTTTTGGCTCTTGCTCATATCATGGGTTTGCAAATCATGCCATACATCATTTTCTTGTTGCGAAGTTTCTGTTGTAGAATGTTTTTTTAATCGGAAGATGTTATGCACAGCTGGCAGAAAATTGTCCATCTGGGGAGCGAACCGCAGACACGGTTAGCCACTGGAAAACAAGGAGCATTATCTATGCTGCTTTTAACTGTGCTTCTCTTTCTTTGGCATTTGCTAGGTTTAGCAGTAGCCAGTGTCTGCTGTGGATCCACTCCGTCTTCGTCTCTTTGCTCTTCTGTGTTTCTGTACTGCAGCCCGTCGTGGTGAGTCCTGGTGAAGGATCCAGACTTCCCCCTGCTGTGCTTTGTGTTGTGTCTGAGGCATGTAGGGTCCCCTGACCCTCTGATACAGGCTCCCCCAGCTCCCGACTCCCCAGGATAACCACACTCCTTCGGGGCCGCTTGCTTTGTCAACTCCTGGGGTGCAGGGAACTGTCATTACACTCGGGCACCTCAAAGGCCTTGAGCGGGAGAGTCAGCTGGTACCCTCTGGACCAGCGCCAGATGAGCTGGCACCTTGCTGGGCTGGCCTGAACCCGGCCAAGTAGGGAGCCGGTGAAGGCCATGTTCTTACTCGTCCTGGTAGTGTCGCAACACGTAGATGGTCTCGACGTCTTTCATGCCACCTTCTCTCTAGCTGTCTGTAATAAAAATCAGGAGCGCATGAGAGTCTGTTTGTTTTTTCCTTCTAGATCTTCATCATGGCAGTGGTGGTGTCGCTGAAGAATAAAGACCATTGCGACTTTTACAAAGGCCACGATGAGACGTGCCCTGCTCTTCAGATGGTGGAGAACTGGAGACTGAGGGGAGGCTGCGCCCCTGAGAGCCACCTGTACAGCCCATACCATCACCGGCAGCGTGGGCACACTCACTTCGACAGGGTAACACTCTCCTGCTGTGCCGCAGACCAAGCTGGGGACATGAGCAGAGATCTTGGTGCTTCAAAGTAGTGAACATGAAACTCACTGGGACAGCCAGCAGCTGGCTAAATCGACGTCCGTTTTCCGCACATGAAGGTGGGGTATTGCATTGGTGGTATTGTATTGCTCTGATGGTGCAGATTCCTGTGTAGGGTCCTGGGTTGTATGAAGGCAGCTGTGTGACCTCATGCAGCTCCTCATGAAGGCTCTTCAAACCCAGCACAGCCATAGAAGTCCCCTGAGGCCAAGGGCAACCTGCACCTACCGACAGACTGATCGATTCCTTCTTTTAGGTTCTGACCAATGCAAGCTGTCGTGCCCCGAGCAAACTGCATACAGTATGTTTCAGCTCAACGTCAGTGCTTTTACTGTTGCAAAGTAATGTTTGGATGAGGTAGCTCCTCCAGGAGATGCATGAGAGCCCACAGCCATGAGAGAGCAAAGTGGTCGCCCGTTGTTTTGTTTATTAGCATGTGTGAAACTCCATAGCTCTCTGTGGGGTGTTGGAGTAAATTTGATAGTGTCCCTCTTCAGATGCCCCCCTTTAATTAACAGGAAACCCTAGATGAGCTGCAGTTTGTTGCCTGACAAGCTTCTTCACCCACAGATTGTAGCGGCTCGGCAGAGAGCCCGGTACCTGCGCCTCGTCAGACCACCCTCCCCTGCACAGCTGAGGGAGTTGCGAGACAGGATGAAGAAGGAATCCCTGCTGCAAAATAATTTCAGGTACAGCGGGGATGTCAGTGATGTTCACTGGTAAAACGATCATACCAATTCAGGCCATTTCCAGAAGACCTCCAGCACAGTAATTCAGTTGCGCAAATTTTGGATGAAATACCACGAACGCCATGGATTTCTTTCTAAATATTTTGTGAAGTAAAGCTAAAGTACTTTTCTTACACAGCACAACCAAGAGGGTTTTGACCCAGAGCAGGTGATGTCCATCTATTCATTGACCTTCTCAGTAATGTGCTGTTTGACAGCCTGAGATTATTCCAGAGGTGCCTCAGGGCTCCATCCAGATGTCTCATGTCTTGTTTTAGACCAGGGTAGCTTGGAAGGCGTAGGCATATCTCCAACTGGCCCATTTCTCCTTTGAGAATACAAATTACACTGTTTGAGAATGTTTGAGAGTAATACAGGTTTATGTAATGACTGTTCTTTCTCCTGCAGTAAAAAAGAGCTGCTTCTGCTCCGGTTCCAATGGCTAACTTGTGAATGAGATAGTTTCGTGTCTTAAAGAAAAATGAAATGACCTTATGCAGTCAGAACCCCATTTTCGAGCCATGAACCCAGGCTCATCTCCTGTGCTGCGCAGCCCAGAAAAGCATCAGGCCTTGGCTCCTGGCAGAAGGAGCAGAAGCCAAGACTCTGGTCATGAGATTGCTCTTGAGAAATCGAGGAAGGGAGACTGGCAGCACCTGACCCCTTTCTCGGTCTCAGACTTTATAACTCCCCTACTCTCCTGCCCTTCCTTAAACTCCATGGCAAACTATTTTATGAGTCACCGATCCGAGCGTACCCCCAACAGGTTTCCATCGGGAGTCACATGCTTTTGTGCCAGGAGGCCTGTTCCAGCAGCACACTAAACTGCGGTTTTCCTTCCTGACAGGGAGCTCGCCCTTTGCACGCTCATGTTACTCCTGCTTCTGTTCGTCACTTACGGGAAGTTCTCCAGCAGCCATTATCGACTGAATCATGCCGTCCGGACTGAGTTCACCCGGTGAGTGACCACACCCGTCCCCCGTGATCGGTGTTGGGCAGAACACGCGGTGATTTGCAGAAGAGAGGTTCCCATTTGGCTCTTGTAGTTCGCTTGCTTTTTAGTAGCTAGTTCACCTCAGGGTCTTCTACAGCCATGTCTTGAAAGACGTCAGGCATCAGCTTCAACAACATGGCTGGGAAGCCCGTTCTTTACTCCCATAGCCCTTTTGTATAAGTAAAGGCACAAGTGTTTCTTAAAAACGTAAAAACTCACATTAATGAACCAATTCAAGAACATTTATGTTAGGGATCATAAATAATACATTTTTTAAAGCAATCCAGTTTTTACCAGAGCCCTTAGATACACTATTGGAATTGTTATTCCTGCTTCAAGCATTTCTCCTGGGTGATTTAGATGAATGATACACAATTCTGCGCACTTTCATGAGAAATTTCCCCTGTCTGGGTGGTATGTCAGGAGCTCTGTGATGATTATAGTCATTTAAAAAGGTATTCACTCCCTTGTAGTGATGTCTCAGTTTGCTCAATGTGTGTCAGATCTCTAACTTGTGTGTCCGCTGAATACAATGTAGTTTTGCTGCACAGTATGTCAGCTTTCATTTCTCCTTTTTCTACTGAAATGAGATTTCAGCTGGCTTTGTGACAAAGTGTGGACTGAGAAGCTGCAAAGACCGGAGTTTGAAAATGAGATGGTTTGTGCCAAACATTTATGAAACCGAATGGCCCATACACCCACTGCTCTCTTACCGATTATACATCGGTGAGTGCAGCAGAACCTATGTATGCTCTGTTTTGTACTTTTGAAGGAGTCCAAAGCACCCATTTCTGGAGGTGAAAACACACAAGGACTGGTGGAACTGGTGTCTAACCACTTTCCTGGATGGTCTCTACTGGGATACATGGTACAACAACGCTTCAGCTAGAAACAAGGTATAACTCGTCTAAAAGATAAGCTAGTTTAAATTAAATCACAAAGTAATCGTTAAGCCGCTTATCTTCTCTTCTGGAAATAAAATACACTGCAGGCAGGAGCAGCCCTGTAAACAGGGGTCATCTGGGGACGACAGTCCAGCAGGCTTTGTTGGTCTTGAGGAAGAATGAATTCAACCCAGTGAAGCTAATGATAAATTCAGTTGGACAAAACAAGCCCGGGCATCACTTACAGGCATTTTCTCCACCGACATGCCCACAACAGCTGGCATCCCTCTCTCGGCACAGATCCACACCAGAGTCACCAGGCGCTTGGCAAGGGAAAGAGAGCAGGCCGTTCGGAATGAGGAAGTTCTCCTGCTCCAGTAGCAAAGTCCTTTCAGTCCTCTGTAACCCTAGCGATCCCGTGCCTCTGTGTTCGCAGGCAGGTGCTGTCCGGGGAACGTGTGTCCTGATTGGAGAGCCGACTCTTAAGAAAGTAGAGGCCACTGCCGACGCCGTGTGCGAGGTGAGCACAGTGCCATCGGTTTCTCACGCAGACTTTCACCTGACGCGCTTTCCAGAGCCCAGACGCTGAGGGGAGCTTTCTTTTTTTTAATCATTTGTTTTTTCATTAACGGGACGTGTTGATTTACAAGAGGTTTCCCATCTCGGGGGCTCTGTGGCTGTGACTGACGATTATAGTTTTCTGCTCCACATCTTAAAAAGAGTATTCATTCCCTTGCAGTCTCAGTTTATTGAACAGCAAATGACGTTTACACATTGTTTTGTTTTTAATCAAAACCTGAATGCTCAAAATGAACACTTTTGTGGTAATGAGATAAATGTCTTTAAAAATTGCAGTTTAGAAACATCAAAGAGTAACGTGTTTCACACACGTTTGTTTTACACACGAGGGGTCTCAGTTCTGTTACACTGGTTGTTGAAGAGCAGCAGTTTGCATGTCTTGCCACAGATTTTCTGTCAGATCCAAGTCAGGGCTTAAGCCACTGCGGAGTGGCCTTGGTCTTGTGCTTTGGGTCATTCTCCTGCTGAATGGTAAATTTGGTATTCTCAGAATTTGTGAGTACTGTATTGTACTGAAATTAGTATGTGTTAACTGGTGAGTATTTACAGACAGGAATTTAGGAATAGGAACGTGGGATGGGCCACAGTAAGACTTGTGAAACCCAGTGCTTGATGGGATCTTTCCTGTG